CGACCCCAAGGTGGCGCCGGACGCGGCCGAGAAGATCCGCATCACGTTTGAGAACGGCGTGCCGGTCCAGGTGGCCAACCTCACGACGCCGTCGTCGCCCGTGCTCACGGACCCGCTCGAGCTCTTTCTCGAGCTCAACCGTCTCGGCGGCAAGCACGGCGTCGGCCGCATCGACATTGTCGAGAACCGGTTCGTCGGCATCAAGAGCCGCGGCGTGTACGAGACGCCGGGCGGCACCATCCTCCGCGACGCGCACCTGGACCTCGAGGGTCTCTGCATGGACCGCGAGGTCATGAAGCTCCGCGACGCGCTCAGCGTCAAGTTTGCCGAGTTTTGCTACAACGGCTTTTGGTTTGCGCCCGAGATGGACTTTGTCCGGCACGCGATTGCATTTTCGCAAAAGGCGATTGCGGGCCACGTCGACGTCGAGCTCTACAAGGGCAACGTCACGATCACGGGCCGCTACTCGGACGTCGCGCTCTACTCGGCCGACCTCGCCAGCATGGACATGGAAGGCGGCGGCGCCAACATCGAGTACAACCCGAGCGACGCGCAAGGCTTCATTCGCATCAACGCGACGCGGCTCAAGGCGTACAACTGCATCCAGAAAAAGTCGGCGTAAGAGATCAACACTATGTATATTGCGTGTGTGAGTGTGCGAGTGGAGGGGTCGTCGCGTCGGTATAGCGAAGAGGAAGCCACGGACGTCGAGCAGACTAGAGTCCGTGGCGGCAACGATCTCTGAGACCCGCTGCGCTTGAGTTTGATTGGCACGTGGGTGGGTTCCTGAGCCGAGCCGACTTGGAATGAACGATCATTGCACGTCGCCCACCCAGCGCTATGGGAACCATTCGACAAGCTCAGTAATAGTACAGTACCAATGCCTTGTTAAGGCACTTGCCTTGGTTCCAGCCAGGGTACATTTTGGTGTACCCTTGGTTCCAACTATTTTGACGTGTCACCAAGGGCCTATAAACTAGGTGTAGGGCTCTACATACTTTGATGTACTAGCACCTGTACCGGTACGGTACTTGAGGGATGCGCTGAATCATGTCGTTGAAGTGTGCACGTAACCTATGTCTGCATCATGGCACATCATCCAGCCATATCTCGCATACACCGAGGCTTTTTCTGCGCACTTGAACCAAGACGAAGAGGAGAGGCCATTTTAAAGAGGGTATCGATCGCAACGACAGCTGGTACCTAAGCACTTTGCGCGGGACTCGTGAGCACGGACGGCCAGTGCGCCTGTCGTGCTGGATTTTGATGAGCTGCGGATGCTGGTATGTCGTACATATTACGGTGCCGGTAGTGCGTGATCTCCGTGCGCCAAGATGCAGCCACTCGGCAGGTTCAAGATCACTTGGCCGTGCGGAGTTCGACGAACTTGCGTTGGTGGCGGAAAAAGCCGGCGCACCAGGCTGGTCGCTGCAGGCGTGATCAGATCCAGGTGATGCAGGGACCAGAGCGCGTCCAGAGGCTTCAACTCGGTTGCCCAGGCATGGCGCCGGTGGTCTTGGAGCAGCTTGTAGAGGGCTGGAACCAAGGGTACACCAAAATGTACCCTGGCTGGAA